CCGGTGGCCGTGGCGGGGGCTCCTCTTCTTCCGTGGAGCGGTGGGCTGCCCGGCGGTCCCCAGCGCCGGGGCTGCCGGGGGGCCTCGCAGGCCGGCAGCGGGGCTGAGGCGGCGGCATCTCCCCTCGCGGCAGGCCGGGGCGCCGGGTGCCGGCCTTCCCCCCACAGGCCTGGCCAGCCCCGGCCGCTCCCTGCCGCCCCCGGGGCTGCGGGGGCAGCAGGGGACTGCCTGCCGCTGGTGGCTGTCCGGCGGAGGCCGGCGGGCACCGCGGAGACGTGCGGCTGTGGAGAGAAAGGAGTTTCTGCCGGCTGTCCCCGCAGGGACCCGCAGCCGCCGGGGGTGTCCCTCACAGCCTGGCGTCGGTGGCGGGCTGCGACGCAGTCCTGCCCGGGCGTTCTTGGCAGCCCCCGGGGCAAGAGGCCTGTCAAGCTTCAGGGAGGTCGGCAGTGGCATTTCCAGAGCAGTAATGTCCCCTTGACTCTCCTGCTTCCTTCCCTAGGCTGGCATTCCAGGAGAAAGGAAGATGTCGTTGAAACCATTTACCTGTCGGTTGCCTGAAACAAGGTTTCTTCATGCAGGCAGGCTTGTGTACAAATTTAAAATCCGTTATGGCAATTTCAACAGGTAAGCATGTTAAAGCTACAACCTGCAGTTTGATGACTGCATGTAGCAGTGGGTTAATAGGAGACCCTAAATTCAGATTGTGAGGGCTGCTCTTTTCCTGCCTTCTTTCACTGACCATGGAAGTGGTCACTTCTAAGTGGCTACTGTCCTTGCACAGGCTGAGCATCAGCCTGAGAGAGTAATGTGAGCTGTAAAAACCGCTCCTGTTTCATTGCCATGTGTGGATTTTGTGCTTCAGTGGAAAAAGAGGCTGGTTTTACTGATGGTATTTTAAAATTTTGTAAGTGTTTAACTGAGAAGCCTTTGTAGTGGTTTAACCCCAGCTGTCAGCTAAGCCCTGCACAGCTGCTTGCTTACTGCCCTGCAGTGAAATGAGGGAGAGAATCGGAAAGGTAAAAGTAAGAAAACTCGTGGGTTGAAATAAAGATGGTTTAATAAGTAAAGCAAAAGCTGTGCACGTGAGCAAAGCAAAATCAGGAATTCATTCACTGCTTCCCATTGTCAGGCAGGCATTTAATCTCCAGGAAAGCAGTGCTCCATCACACCTAACGGTTTCTTGGGAATGTGTTCCTTCCTTCTTCTTCCCCCAGTTTTATTGCTGAGCATGACGTCCTATGGTCTGGAATATCCCTTGGGTCAGTTGGGGTCAGCTGTCCCAGCCTTGTCCCACCCCCAAATTCTTGTGGACCCCCAGCCTACTCACTGGTGGGGCAGTGAGAGGAGCAGAAAAGGCCTTGATGCTGTGTAAGCACTGCTCACATCCCTGTGTTATCAACACTGTTTTCAGCAGAAACGCAAAACAGCCCCATCTAAGCTACTGTGGGGAAAATTAACTCTCACGTTAATTAACCAGCACAGCCGTGGAGCTCTGTACTCAAAGTATGTACTTATTTCTTGGGCTGTCTGCTGTTAGCAATGTGCCTTTTGCTGGCCTGGCAATCTGGTGCTCAAGTGTGGGTGTGGAAGGAGTCTTTGGAAACTCTCACTGGCTGTTGGCAGTAGTTGTTTGTTGTGCTCTTGGGATTTTTTCTCTCTCAAGGTTCCCTTTGCACTGCCACTCTTCTTTCAGATGTGTTTGTGATAAGCCTGTCCTGTGGTTTTGAAACAATAGCATGCCTCTCCTGCAGGCAGAGGGGCTGAGCAGGACCTTTAGGGTAACTGCTGCTCTCCATTTCTAGAAGGCACTGTAGTGGCAGGCCTGAGAAATCAGAGTGAAGGGAGAGTGTTTTAGTCTGTGGTACTGCTGGCATGCAAGTCAGAGAAAGGAAAGCGGCCTTTGCGTGTACAGGGGACAATGAATAGGAGGGTTATGGGAGGTAATGGTTGTGTGGTAAGCCTCAAATGGGAAGTTTGAGTTAGTAGCCAGCAAAGTAACTAAAGCACAGGGTACTGAGTAGTCTGGTCAGCTGGGGAAGATGTAAAACAAGTGAAGAGGCTGGTCCTTCAGAAGTGAAAAAGAGACTTTCCCTGAGGGTATTGCCCTGCAGGAATCTGCTTGTGTCTGCTAGTCAGGCACACAGAGATGATGGGCAAGTGCTTTTGCGAGTGGGCAAAATCTTGACCAGCTCACTCAAGGAGCTCTGGAGCCTTTAGTTTGAGAGGGGACTTAGAATCCTGGAGGCTGCAATCTATAATAATTCCAGAAGTTTGAGCTGCTCTGAAAAAGGAGCTGGAGCTGCTTGGGTTTAAGGGTGGTATTCCAAAGCAGGTGCTTATAGTTTGGGTCCTGCTGAAGGAGTGTTCTGTAGGGCTCAAACTTGGTCTGAAACTTATGAGTTGTTGCTGTCTCAGCCTCTGATAAGTAATTAATAATGATAGTATTCATAAGCCAAAGCAGTGGCTCAGCATAATCTGGCTCCCTGTGTACATCCTTCAAGGCTGTGGTCATCATCAGACAGCAGTTCAAGGTTGATGCCCCCACAGGCTTTTGGAAAGTCATCTAAAATGTTGAGGTTAAGTCTCTTTTCAGGTGGTGGCACCCATGCAGACACTAGGACTGAGATCCTTTTGAGCCAGGAAGTATCCCTGCATCAGAGAAAGAGAAAAGCATTGTGGCATCCCGAAAACCCTGTTTTCTTGCCAGTGAGGTTGCAGCAGGGCTAAAATGACTTAGGCAATGACTCAAGCCTCTGCCTAGAGAGTGGTTTTATGAGTGTGAGTGAATTTGCTTTTGCAATCAGATGTGCACAGGCATTGCCAGGGCCTGGATTTACTCTGGAAATGACTGTTAGCCGCAGAAGAATTGAAGAGAATGTGCTATGAACACCATGCCAATGAGGCTGTCTCCAGACCTGAAGCTACGTTAAATCTCTTGCCAGATTTGTCTCCTTTTTCCTTTGGAGAAGTAGGCTGGGTCTTTGAAATTCTGCTGCATGTCTTGTGGTGTCACGTAGTGTTCAGAAGATGCTTGAAATATTGTTCTTGTCTGTGACTAAGGTCTTTCCCTCAGCGTAATCCCTTTAGAAGGCACTGCCAATAGCGCGCGTATGTTTCTGAACAGCCTGCAGGTGTTTGATCTCCTGATGGTAGAGAGCGCACTGCATTTGTTTGAGTTTGGCAGTCTGTCATTGCCCCTTGCTTTCTTCCATTCTTTCTACCCTCTTCTCCTCATCGCCGCGGCAGTGTCCCTTCCTGAATCGTGCTTTTGTGTCCCTGCTGATCCATGAAGACTTCATGACCACAGCGTAAGTCTTGGGTGGGTGATGTCTGTCCTTCTGCTGTGGCGCAATGTGTAATTCCTTTCATTAACTTGTTCTGTATCAAGCAAGGAGAGAGCCTTTCTGAAGAGGAAGGAAAGTTCTCATCTCTGACCGAGTTCTGGCTGGGGCCCCTGAATGTGGAGGATATGAGAATGGCTGCCTGCCAGACCATATACCAGAGAATACTTGCATGCCATAATTCCTTACACTCCACCGTATTTCCTTATTTCCAAGTGACGTTTGTGCGACACTTGTTTACTTTTTAATGGGTTCAGCTTTTCTTTGAGACCTTCTCTCTCCCTGTGCATTTTATTGTTGGCCGATACCTAGCAGCAAACAACTTTTGAGAAGCTGGCTTACAAAAGATGTAGTTAATAGTTGGGAACACAGTTTGATGCAGGCAGTACACAACTCCCAGCATCACAGGGCCTAGCTCCAATGCTGTGAAGGCCTGTTCTCTGCAGGTTTGCACCATGGAGGGGATTAAGAGACACATCCTGCCGGTTCCTTCTTTTAGTCCCTTGAGCACAATGGCATTGCGATAGGCTGGAAGGGAGAGGTGCTGGTTTGAGGGCACCTTGTAAGAAAACCCAATCCTAAAGGTTGCTGAGAATCAACTGAAAAGATCTGATCTCTCATCCTTTGAATCCTCAGACACACAAAATACAAATGGGCAGAAAAGTGAAAAGAAACAGTCCTTGTGGAATAAGGGATGTTTTTTAAGAACAATAAATTGGGAATTCATCTGCCTGCTAAGTATTTTCTCTGTGCAATGGGAATGATGTTTTGTTGTTTAAACTCTTACAAGGAATGTAGCTCCATTGCTTTTTGATCGGGGTGGGACTAACTCTCTCTGTTTGTTTCACAGCGCTCTGGATCTCGACACCACTGAAAGTGCTGTCAAGGAGTTAGAGGTAGGAGATGAAGCAGGTCCACGGGACCTTAGCTGAATGTTAGGTTGAGCAAATCTTTTGTTCGTTATGGGACGGAGGACGTTTTGTCAAATACAGGGTTGCAAGCGCGAGTAATGGGGAACTTCTCTGGAGAGTACGAGGGTGAAAAAAATGACGTAAATGAAAAATGTCATCAACAGGCAGCATTAGCGTAAGCGAGTAATGCTTTTATCAGAAATATTTCAAAGAAGCTACTGACTGTTAAAATTAGACAAATGAAAACTCCTATTTGTCGAGCTAGTTGCACCTTGTCCCTTTCTGGTTCCTGTTCAGATTCGTTCTGCAGTAGCAGTTTCCCGTGGTTTCACTCTCGGCCCCAGACCTGACCACTGCTTTGAACTTCTCAGGCTTGACTAGCTCTCAGACCCTCCTAGTTTTTCAGGAGCTGTGGCAGTACTGGTGAGCTAGCTTGACAGCAGCTAATCTCATGCTTAATTGCACATGCTTTCCTCATAGCTGTGGAGCTGGGGGAGCCAGTGGATGTTCTTTTAATGACGCCATTACTTTGTGACCAAGCTTGGTGACAACTGATGAATTCTGTTCTTGTCATCTTCTTCCTGAGACAGGAGAAAGACCCTGCCATTCCTGAGGAAATGAGACCAATATACTGCCTGCTTAAAAATGCTCCTGTTACTTGATTTTAAACAAATCTTTGGAGTACAGTAACAGCGTTGTAAATATCATTGAAGAAAATGTGCTGATTTTAATTGATGTGGAAGATTATCGGTTAATTTTTGTTTCTTTTTCACTTTTGATAATATTGAAAGGTACTACTGGAAAAAGTTTCCCATTTATAAAGCAGGAATTTGTAGGGGCTGAATTACAGTTCCTTTGTAACTGAATTGCGTCAATATTCAGAAAAAGGGGAATATGTTTATTTTTGCAACAGGTCAATACTGCACGTGTTGTGCTGGCAAGAAGGAGGCTTCTTAAATGTAAAACTTCTTAAATTTAAAAGCACAACTCCAGTTTCCATAGTAATGCTTCTATGTTGGTTCAAGATTAAGACATTCATTTACTTCAATTTCTGTGAATCTGTTAGGGCAGCGTGCTCTAAGGTGATGGGAAGGAGCAGGGGAAAGAAGGGGAGGAAGAAAAGCAAAATACCTAGAACCTGTTCTTCCACTATTCATGCAAACTGTAATGTTAATTTTTTTCCAAGCCTCAAAACTGTACTTGACAGTGGAATTGTGGCTATATTGTTAATATTCTTCCTTCCTTTCTTGTTTTGGCCTCTCCAGGAAGCGATTCGAGTAATCCTTGGAAATCTTGATGATTTACGTCCATTTTCTACAGACCACTTCACTATCTTTCCATGTATCCTTTCTTTCCTACTTGTAAAATAAAAGATTCAATGACTTGCACCTGTCGGGCATTGCTTAATTCGACATTCATGTCTAGTAGTGTGCAGATCTTTAGCTAGAGTATGAATCCTTTGACCTTTGCAGTTTTAGCTGAAGATCCTTCTCAGTTGTTGCCTTCAGAGAACTGATGGGAAAAGAGTGTTTTGCAGTGTTTTTGGATGAACACCCCTGCGTTCCAAATCTGATTTAGCCAGAGAAAATGAACGTGTATATATAAAGTCCCAGGAAGCCCACGTAATGCGATTGCAAGCAAAGCTAGTGCGTTGTTTCAGAAGGTTAATAAAATGTAAAACGCTCCTTACAGGCTCAGCAGTGTTGGTCCACTAGTAGAGAAGACTGCAGTAGTTTTCTTGTAAGGTATATTAGGATTAAATATTGTAGTTGCTTAGTGTGAAGGGTTAAGAAGAAGTTACTCTCCTGAGGCTGTTGTTGAAGAGAAAAGTAAGTTAGTTGAAGGAGAAGCCTTTTCAGTCCTAAGGTGTGTCAATTTGTGAATTGGATCAGGCCCTTTGGCATCACCTCCTGTGATTCCAAGTGCCCAGGAGTAATGAACACCCACGTGTTTCCGCCTCCAAGGCATTCCCTTCCAGTCTTGGCAGACTGCATTATTGCCACCCCTCATACTAGCAGGCAAGAACAAGGTCATCCTCTTTCTCTGTCAGAAGCTGGTACGTATGAGAGCAACTTATTCCTGTTACTGCCAGGAAGAGAAAGTAGCCCAGAGCATTGTCAGACAGAAAGCACCCAAACAAACGAAGCCTCATTGTTCGTTTGCTTCACTAAAGCACAGCCAGTTTTGCCTGTGTGCTTGAGGACAGTTTGATTGACGAACTTGTATTTCTAGAACTTGGAAGTCCATCCACCTGCTCAGCCAGCACCGGGCCCTGGTGAGAACTGCAGGCTCAGAGGCCTGGCGAGATGAGTTGTCCTGCAATCTGTGTGTCGGCCTCCTCACTGCAGCATACCTCTTAGTTAATCACCAGCTGTGGGAGTCCTTGAAGCCAAACTCAAACGAGCAATTTCATCCCTTAAAGGAACTGATTGCATCAGTGTTTCATCTAGGCAAAACTTGGGCTTCATCTCCACTCTTCAGGATGTTAGTTTCTGCTAGCAAATGGACTAAAAGTATTCGTGTTACCTGTTTCTTCCTGAGATCAGAGGCATGTAAGGAGACTGCTGTCTGGCGTCATCCATTCTTGCATGCATGTACTCCTACGTGTGCGAACTGCACCCACAGGAAGGAACATCTGTGACTGTGGCAGTTGTCATGTCAATTATCTGTTTTCCTCCCATTTTGAACTGTGAAGTGAATGTAATGATGCTACTCCTTATGAATCCTAGTCCTTTTCAGTTTTAAAAATAATTTTTAAAAGAATTACTTTTTAGTTAGGAAAGCTGATGAGGTTTTATTCACAGGGTTGGAAGAGCCTGGCATGTTGTTTCTTGTGGGAAGATGCCAGGACTGAAGCCAGATACAGTTAAGGAAACACAACGCTATTAATACAAGTGACTGATGGGAGAGTATCACCTGGATGAGTGTTTCTTGTAATGTGTTACTAGTGTTTTTTCACAAAGTTCATACCAACAGATTGTAGTTGCTCTCTTATGCATACATGTTCAGTGTGGTATGACTTTTGAAGCTTCACAAGAAGACATTGTCAGGACTCCTGCTCCTTTGAAATGTTAGTGCTATGTTCTTAAGTCTTATCGTTGTTCTCAGATTTGAGTAAATGGGAGAGAGTATCGAAGATGAGATTCAAACATGAGAATGTCCACCTTGTGCCTTATCCCTACATTTGCACTATGTATCTAGAACTCAACTCATTTCAGCAAAGCGTATCTTGTGGTAAGTCACTATGGTTATGTTTGGATAATGTCTGGAAACATCTACGATCTATGTCTTGCTTTTCCCTTTCCCTTCCTCCACTGTGTCTTTGAATTAGAGGGAGCAAAACTGTGTGCAGTATGGCTGTACCATGGATTTGAAATAGAGCATAGCAATGTGTTCTCTTTTGTCCTGTATTGCTTTTTGAAAATGTCTGGAATTTCTCTTTGCCTTTTCACCCACTGCTGACTCTTCAGCTAGTATTTTTATGAAGCAATGCCCAGTGGCTCCCGACCTTCATTCTTGAATGTCAGTAGCTAGGCTGGAGCCAGCACATATATATGGAACACATGTTTTTCTTCCTTATGCTTGACTACATTTGTTGACATTGAACTTCACACTCTTTGTTTCTATTTTCCTAAAGAAAGAATGCATTTGTTTTTCTAAATAATGATAGTAATAATGGTAATAATGTCTTTTGTATAATTAGCAAATGTTGTCACCTCCCTAGTGTCTCATCTTCCAGGTTTTCTATGAATTCCCTGAACAGCCTCAGGCCCCAGCTGAGACCTCTGTGGGACTCTGCGTTTAACCTCCTCTGTTGTGAAAATGGAGTGTTTTTTCGTACTAATTTCCTGTTCTGATTATTTGTCCCTGGGAAAAGCTGTTGGTCTTTCTTGTGAGTGCTTAGTAGATATTCTGGTCTCCTTTATCAAATGGACAAGTAGTCCAAAGCAATTGTCCCCATCCCATTGGCTTGTGTTATTCATAGCCAGGAATTCTTAAAGAGCTGTATTTGCAGTTCTTCAGTTTCAAGATATCATATGCAAGTCCAGCATTGTTTCTAAGTAGTTTATCTTGTTCTCAGGAAGTGAGGTGCAATGCAAAAATGTACTTTAAAGTTGGTTAAAGAAAGTCCAGTCACCAAATATTCACCAGATTTTATAATACCTCTGTTACAGGTAAAGAAGTAAACAAGGGCAGTGATGAGCTTGTAAGTTGTATGTGTGGTTGTGTTTTGTGTTTTGGTTTTTTTTTTTAAAAGTCATATTCCAAATAGTCTGGAGAAGCAGAATATATATCTAGGCAATGCTATAGTTCTCCTCTTTCTGGGTGTCAGTCAGGCAGTGTAAGGTGGGACTGAATTCTCCCCTAGAACCATCCAAATTGAGGGAAACCTTCCTGTCAATTCCAGCGGACTTTGAATGAAGTCCTGCCTCAGGATGCGAGGGCCATGCTGGCTTCAATTAAATGTGTTTTCTGCAAGTCTGAGCTGAGCTGTCAAATGGTTTCTTCACCGTGAGAGTCTGTATGAGGTCAATATTGCTGAATAATTAAGTAGTTTCCTAAGTGCTGTATGTGTCGAAAACAACCAAGTTAAGCTTCTTTGGAAAGTAGTTGTTTAGTGAGATCTCAGGGTGGGTATGTTTTCAATACAGGTAAGTGTCTGAAGATGGAGTGAATTAGTGAAGGTGTCCTGTCCAAATTCCCCCAAAGAAAATCCCACTCTCTCTGCTAGCATTACGTTCCTGCTAATTACATTCCTAGGCCCTCCTCTAAAAACGGAACAAATAGGATGTCCTGGGAAGCAGCAGTTCTTGTTTAAAACTGTTGAGCATAATTTTCTGGATGGCCTCTCAGTGCTTACCTTCTGTTTGAATAAGGCAGCTAATCTTTTATTCCTGAATCATTTTTTTTTGTTTTTGTTGTATAAGCATGGACAATGTTGCGAAATATGGATGTATATTAAGTCTGACTTTTGTTCTAAAATAGAAAAGTCAAAATCAAATTTTATCAATACCAACTTTGCAATGTTTTGAAGGTCAAGAGAAGAAATGAAGTGTCAGAAAGTGCTGCAGTGGAAGAAACAGTGAAGAGGAGAAGAGTGGAAGTCGGAGCAGAGGCCTCACACTCACAGTCGGGTATGGACAGGTCAGTTGACTACAAAATAGTCTTCCAGGGCACATATCAATGTTTTTGATGTCTCTTGTACCTTCCTCATATTTCATTCCTGTGTAACCCTTTGGCCCATTTGTCTTCTTCCTTCTCTTCCATAGGTGACAGAATCTAAGCAGCATTGTCCATGTTTGGAGAAAAGTTGTCCTGTGCTTTCAGGTTCCCATGCCATTAACTAGAGCTCTTACTGTCTAACTCCTTTGTGTTAACGTTACCTGTAGAATCACAGCGGGATGAGAACTGGGCAGCTCAACAAAGCAGTGCACTGGCTTGCACACCTGAGGCAGGGATGTCAAGGGAAGAACTGGGAATGGTTTTCTAGCTGCCTCCCAGCTTGTTCCTCTGAGTCGGCTGATGACTGCTGCCTCTGGGCTTGAGGCAGAGATCTCTGTCTGTGGCTTTCACAGAACCACTGAGGTTCTCGGGACCTTTGATATCATCGAGTCCAAGCCCTCCTGCTCAAGCAGGGTCACCCAGAGCAGGTTGCCCAGGACGTGTCCCCTCAGGTTTTGAGTGGGCTACAAGGGTGGAGACGCCACAACTTCTGTAGGCAAGCGGTTGCAGTGCTTGACCACAGTTGCAGTCAGAAAGTTTTTTCTTGTGTTCAGAGTTAATTCCATGTTTTGCAATTTGTGTCCTTTTTCTCTTGTCCTGCCAGAAGGCGCTGCTGAGGAGAGCCCGGCTCCCTCTTCTTCATTCCCTCCCATCAGGTGTACATTGATAAGAGCCCCCGAGCCTTCTCCAGGCTGAACAGTCCCAGCTCTCCCAGCCTCTCCGCATATGAAGAGTGCTCCAGTCCCTTCATCCTCTTTGTGGCCTTTTGCTGGGCTCACCCCAGTGAGTGCCAGTCTTGTCCTGGGGAGCCCAGTCTGGATGGAGTACACAGACTGGCCTCAGCAGCCCTGAGCAGAGGGGAAGGATCACCTCCCTCGAGCTGCTGGCAAAACTCTTCCTAATGCAGCTCAGGGTGTTGCTGGCCGCCTTCAGCACGAGGGTGCAATGCTGGCTCATGGTGGCTAACTTCAAGTTTAGTTCTTGATTACCTTTCAGAGGCAGGCCCATTATTAGTTACAGTCTAGCAGGCTTCTTTCTTTCATGGAGTGTAGCTTTTAAAAACAGAAGATTCATGTCTACTTAATATTCACAAGTACGTGGCAGAGAGTCCCAGATCCAGCGTTGTGGTCGGAAGTGTTTATGCTCACCTTTCCCCTTCCATGGCAACATACAGACCATGTCAAATCATCTCCCTTGTTGCCTTATATTCTACCCAATTCCCAAATGTATTTCAGGCAGAGATTATAATGGGAGAAGTCTGAAGCCAGTTCTTTTCCTGCTCATACAAATGTAGTCCTTTCATTCCCCACGCCGCCCTCTCCATCAGTTTCTAGTCACAATAAAACTGCTGGACATGAGTGAAGAATGAAACCAGGATCCAGAATGCTTTCTAATCTCTTTTAGCCAAGGCGTGATTTGTAGATTCATAAGATACAAGGCCAGAAAGGGCTATTTCATGATCCAGTCTGGCAGTTTTCTCTTAGTCCTGTGTCTTGCCCCAGCAGTTATGCTATTCCAGAAAAGATTAAAACAGTTAATAGTTCTAAAGTGTATTCTTGATTTCAAATTAAACTGGTCAGGCATCAACTTCAAGCCTTCTGTCATTTTTCCCCAATTACTCTGTTAGACTGAAGAGCTGAGCATTCAGTCTGAGCATTCCCCCACCCTGGGAAGGAGTTTGCCTACTGTAGTCAGACCACCTCTTGATCTTTTGTTTCTTTTTGGACAAGCTCTTTAGCTTGTAAGTCCTCATGGGGTATTTGGATTTGGGTTTTCTTGGGGTGCTATTGAGTGTTGAGCTGTCAGAATCTCTAGGTGATGCTGATCAGCTCCAAGAGCACTATTTTGTGTGTGAAGCCAGGACTCTTTTTCCCCACGTGCATCACTTTGTACCTCTCTGCTTTTTTATTGCTCCACGACTGAGTCTTGTAAGATCTTTCTATGGTTCTTTGCTACCTGCCCTTCTCTTTGTGTCAGTAATCTTGTAGGATTTGCAAGCTTTCTCACCTCACTGCTCATCCCCCTTTCCCTGTCACGTCACACTGTTTTTCTCTTTAACTGCTTGTTTGGCTTACTAGAAAAGCAGAAAGCCTAATACTGGAATGAGTGCCTATTGTCATTTTTTAAATGAGACTTTGAAACATGAGTACAAATACAGATTAAGGGTATCTATCTTGTTGGCTAGAGGTACTAAAACCTTAATTTCTAATGAAATACTTGAGTAGCCATTTACAAGATTGCTTCCTTTTTGTGACTTTTTGTAAACTCAGTTCTTACCTGTTTGACTTATTTTTAGAACTGGAGCCGAGTGTGTTCGCCATACGAGTAAAGCAGAGCATGGATTTGAAATGGTAAGCTACAGAATATTCAGGAAGAGACAACAGCATCTGTTTAGTCCTAGATTCTTAAAGTGGCAAGCATAAAAATGCCTTCAGGTAACTTTTTTTCCTTTTTCACCTGCATCACCTGCATGGAGACATTTGTGATTCCTGCTCATCAAACTTAGCCACGGGATGAGTTTTGCCAGGAGCCAACACAGGCTTTTCTGACTGTGAAGCTACAAACTCTAGGGGTGAGCTTAGCTTCTCGGAGCTGAACCTGAAGGATGCCCTGCCTTGTCTTCAAGCCTCCAGTCCTCTTTTACCTCAGATGCCCCTTTGTGCAGAACTCCATGAAGGGCCAACAGTGGGTGCTGACACATGGACACTGGCTTTGCTGCGAGTACTTGCCACTCCCCACCAGTGTCCTCTCTCTGTGTAGATGGCCTTGCAAGCATCTCCCTCTTCTTGAAACAGTGTCATGTTTTTTTCTCGCTATGTCATCAGAAGGCAGATTTACGACAGGATTGTTCCAGAGGGATTGGCAGTTGCTTTCTAAACCCACTGTTCTCCAGAGACCTTGTCAGGAGGGCGAGATTCTTTTTTAGCCCACAGGCTAAACGGCTGCTTTGACAGAGCTGCTGTTAGGCACACCCTTTAGTTAAGAGGGTCTTCCCTCACCCCCCTGTTCTCCTCCTCCTGGCTGTTGCCCATCCTCCAAAATGTCCCAGTGCATTTGGTCCATTTTCTGGATCCTGATAGCCATTCTGCATTTAGTTCAAATCCCTGCCACACTATTGCCTTCCTGGCCGCCTTCCCTCTCCAGCTCTTTGGAGAGAGTCTTTTCTGAGGAGGCAAACTTATTCCTCTTGGGGTTGTCCACAAAGGAAGTTGCCTGGTGGTATAAAAGGAACAGCTTCTTCTCCCACTGTTCCTTGGGAGGTGAACAGTTGCATCAGATGCCCAGGTTTCTGCGTGCTTCTGCATGATGACGTGCTGCCCCCATTTCAGAAACCTTTTGGACCTCTCCACAACTGGCTGAGCCTTTACGCAAATATCGTCCGTGGGCTTGCTGCCTGCTGGCCAGGGCATGCTGCCTGCTTGCTGCTGTAGGACTGGTTTCAAAGGGCCAGTCTCAGCATAATTGCTCTGCAGGGATCCCCTGCATATACAGTGGCCTGCAATTTCAGGTGCTGCTAGTTGCATGGTTACCTTCAGCCTGCACAGGTAAACTCCTGTATTGAAAGAGCCCTCACCTTGTTGTAAGCCCAAAACTTTCTTTCAGAAGAGGGGTTTTTGGCAGGTTTGTTGGATTTCCAAGATAGGAAGGACACTGCCTGGTAACTCCTCAGGCGCCTTCAGTACAGAAGAACTTCTCTAAAACAAGCAGGCTGATTTGTTTCCAAAACCTGTATCCCTTTTTTTTCCCCTCAGCTTACCTTTGCAGGATTAGTGACAGGTCTCTCTACACATGCCCTTTCTGGCTTCTTTCCTCAGGTGCTCCAAACACTCTGTTGGTGGGGTAAGGTCATCCTCTGAAATATGCTTTTTTTATTCCCTGCTTTGCTATAATCACTGTCCCCAGAATGCCTCCACTCCTTGTACAGTGGCTGAATTTCCCAAACGTTAGGGTCCTTGGAAGCTGGAGCTCCGGGTTAGCATGTTGGACCCTGAGAAATGATGTGGTAGGTGGCAGACATCACCATAACCTCCTACTGTGTTAACTGATGTGGAAGGACATATCCTGAGCTCTTTCCAGGTAAACTGGAACTATGATGAATGAATCATCAACTTAGCAAATACCAGTTCAGGTGAGAAGAACCTTCTCCAGAAGAGATGCTTGTGCCACCATGACTCGTACCTGCAATTTTCACTAGTCAGGGCACTGTTACACTGAGAGGGAGCTCCAGACACAAACTGGCATCTTTATGAATACCAGACCAGATGTCAGGAGCACCACATGAAATCCTGGGCAGATGACCTCTCCCTTATGTGCTTTTTTTAGGGGATAAGAGCCAGGTGCTTCTGTGACATGCCTTCCATTTGGTTTGCTTTCCATTTTTTTCTTTGGTATTCAGGATGAGAAGAAAGATCAGGTTTAGGAAAAAACATATCAGTAGCTCCTGTACTTTCTCAGGATTCTTCTGATCATTCCTCCAGGGCTCTTGTTCAGTTTATCAGCAGTGTATGATTTTGGATCCAAATCCAGCTGGTGTTTTAGAGTGCATCTCGAAAAGGGAACAGTCTTGTTAAAACATGGAGGAAATCTGTCTGCTTAGTACACGTAGGACTGACTTTACAGCATCAGCACTCAATTCAAAAGGAGGAGCATGGAAGTGCTGCAGTCAGACAGCTGTTAAATAGATTGCATTTTCAGCTCTCCTCCAAACGCCTTCCAGGCCTGCGATTTTGACAGTAGGCTGTATGGTCAGATGATTGGAGTCGAGCCTGTGCATCTTTCCACCTACCAAGAGCAGCAGTAGAAGTCCAAGGAAGAAAGAGGACTGAGAGATGCTCAGCCTGTCACTGCAGATAATTTTTGTAACTTAGTTAATGCTCTGAGACTAAACTGCAAAGATCTCTGGCCATCTGAAGTTTGGAATTTCACATGAACCTGAGCTTAGTGCAAGAGAAGCACCATCGGGGAGTGGATCTATTCTTCTCTGATCTTATATCTGTGACAAAGTTGTTTTACTGTCTCCTAAAGAAGCTTACATGGTGATTTTGTTGTTTGTGGTCCTTT